GATCGTAACTATACTTATCTGTTGGTAAATAAAAGAAGGGTCAACAGTTGGAAAAAAGTATACATCATTCTTACTAAATAATGAGCTTCAAAACTATTAAAGTTCCAAAACAAAACATCGGCAACAAAGAGAGAAGGTACAAAAACTACAAGTTTGCTTCCCGAGGCAAGCAATTATGTAGCCACGCCGGCCCTCCACGAGCTAAGAAGGACTGAAATTTACCATCACGAGTAACACTCGACGAAATCTCACGGGCAAGCGCCTATGGATTCAAGTTCAAAGGAGCAGGATTGGAAACAAGACCGAAGTGCACTGATATGAGAAAGAAGAATCCGATATCGTGGCCAGTCTGTTGCTTTGTGCACAGCTTCAAAAGCAGCTTGACAATCAATCCCAATGATCACATCATCGACACGTATATCTCTTAAAACTTCAGTGGTTTTATTTTGACTAATTTATGAATTTTTTTTTATTCTTAAACTTGCCTAAGTCGAGAAATCGCTAATTCATATGTTCATTCTTAGGATGCTTCAATTTGGCCGGATCATTTTAAACATGACATGCAAGGTTGTTAACAAGCAGACTAAATCCACTTCGTTTATTTATTTATTTTTGTTAAAATGTGAAATTTATTTATCAACACACAAAAAAAAAATGCTTACAAATTTCAGTCATAAAGAATCGAAAGTTTGAAAACAGAGTAAACATTTTTGCTCCAAAAACAGAGGAAGCAAAGTTCATGGTATTAGAGACCGAACAAAAGGAGATCGTATTTGGCTGGAAGTGAAACAACATTCTATGTCGGTAGCCTAGAAACCTCAATCCTGCGTTTGAGACCATCTTGCTCTTTTGATTCCGCAATTACGCCTCGTCGCTGAGAGATAATGCGGTTTGAATTTCCTTGTGGATAGTGTGAGCAAGAGAGAGAGATGAGTTTGGGGGCCGATGGTGTCGCCGTCCACTCGGTTCCCTCCAAATCCAGTAAACCGTTGATTGCAATGCCATCTTTGCCAGAGTTGCGTCTAGCTTTGAGAGCCGGTTTCTCTGAAGGCTATTCACCGTCAAAGTCCAATCCGGATTTATCCTTGATCTGAGAAGCGTTGAAGTTAACATCGCCCAAAGCGTGTAGGAGAAAGGGCACGCAAAGAACAAATGATCGCGAGTTTCGTTGGGCTCTTCATAGAGAAAACAAGATTGATTTGTACCCCATTGGCGCATACGATCTCATGTGGATAATCTATTTCGAAACGCCACTTCATATGATATGTTTTGCTCGATAGGCATTGAGTTGGCAAACAAGAGAGAATGGTATTCTTTTGCAACATCAATCCAAAAACGAAAATGGAAAAACATATACAAGTATAATTATTTAAAGTGTGACAAAGAAATGTTTTGCCATAAAAAACTGGCATACCTAACAAAAATAATATAAATGTTTTTCCATAAAAAACGACGTAAGTGTGACAAATATTGATTTTTTTAAAAAGATTTACGAATTTTATGTTTGTATATTTTTGTAAAACGCTAAACCGAAGAGAAATAATGTACAAACAAAGCTGCGATCAAATCAAATTATGATGATACAAATTGTTGTGATTCTCCCGGAGAACTTTCGTTTCTTCACTCCTCCTAGCTTCCCCACAATGTAGTTATTATTTCCAGATTAAACCTACAGAACGATTACCAAGTCCTACACTCAAACATAGCCAGCTTCTGAAGTTTCTTTGCCACAATCCAATTCAAGTCATGCACTTTATGATTCCCTGCATTTTCTCCTACGAGTATCACAATCGTGGTTTGTGAAATATAAATTTATCTACGACTTCCGTGTCAAATGAATTGGTAGAAATCGGTGCAACAATTAGAATTTCAAATTCGTGGATTGTGAATGTAAAATCATCGCATGACTTCCTGTGTCATATGAATTGGTAAAAATCTATGCAACCATTAGATATTTTCCAAGTTATTTCCTTATAAGCACAAGATCATGATTATGCATGTGTTTAAATTTAAAACAACCAAAGCTTTGTTTG